CACACATTACACTCTGCTGATGAATACCGCACCAGATATATTTGGGTACATCCTGATACAAATGACCCGTTCACATCATTCACACAGGCACCCCCACGTTTCACACACACCTGCACAGTTCCCCCTGTTCTATAAGGCTGCTGCTCTATAAAGCCCAGGGAATGCATCAGCTCTTGGGGTGGGGAGGGTTGTGAGTGTTCCCCTGAATTCTCCTGGGAGAGGTTGCCTGGAACACCCCCACCCTTCCCTTTAAGATTTGCTTAATCTTCCCATCCATAGCCCATCTAACCTGGCAGAAACTTCTAGGGTTTTACTGATAGAGTGCAGGAGGAAGCCAGGAGGCCCAAGCATTTAGATAGGACACAGCCTTGAGCTCCAGGAAACCCCCAAGCTCAAAGGCAGAGCCTGACTCAAACCAACACCTTGCAACAAACACACAAGTGAATGGACAGCTCCAGCCCCGCCCCCTTCTCTACATAGGCCCTGAGGCTAGAAACCCATGTGAAATACACCCTCTCCTAAAAAGAAACCTGCACACTCGGATTAAGCTACAGCGATACAGCACACCCAGCCCCCAGCCTGTCACACATCTTATCGCCTCCATAATTGGCCTCATTTACAGATGTAAACACCCTCACAATTGCTCCTAACCTTGTGCACACACCCATACTCAAGAATGCACATATGCACACAGAGCTTCAAACTGTGCCTGACCTTACGCCCTCTACTCAGACATCCACAAAATAGGCACATACCTTTCTACAGATGACATTCATAGGCAGACACCAACGGGTACTTATCGGCAGAAACATCGTAGTACACATCTCTACAGACACATGATTCCCAGCAGTCACAGTCTCAGGAGTGTGTGTGCCCAATATCTGGGGACATTACATCCTAATGGACTCAGGGAAATAAAGACATCTACCTACCAAGACCTTTAAAGACCCACACCAAGACCATGAAAGAGATAAACATCTGATCATGTCCAGACATCAAGGTACACAAGAACAGCCCCAGCCAATGGCATGCCCACTGCCTGCACTTGAATTGTTCATTTCTCTTAGACACAGACATGCAGAATGAAAAAGTTTCTCTCGGAATCTTTGCTACATGGAGCTCAGACAAAATGAACGTAGGCAATATGAGAGTGATGTGTATGTGTGCACACATGTGCCCACACAGATGGACAGCTCCCACTCTTCCTTCCTCCCTCCCTCCCTGCCATGGGGTTGATGCCCATTCCCAGCGACCCTCTAGGACAGGGCAGAGTTGCCCCTGTGGGTTTCTGAGACTGTAACTCTTTACCGGAGTGGAAAGCCTCAGCTCTCCCATGCACAGCCCCCACCTCCTGAAATATCTCTTTCACACTTAATATTCCCCCAGCTACTCCTCCTGGGGACATGAATCCATGCCAGGCATGGCACCAAGCATTTCACAGTGCTGCCCTCCTTTTCTTTTCCTAAGAACCCTGTGAGGTGGCATCTCTCATCCTGCCCATTTTACTGATGAAGAAAGCAAGGTTCAGTGAGATCATGTGATGTGTCCAAACTGATGCCACATGACCAGTAATTTCCAGAGTCCAGAACTCAAGACCAGACTTATCAGACACGAGAGCCCCTGCTCTTGATTTCTAGGACACACATACACTCCAATACATGTTAAAAACTCTGGCTAGGTGACAGGTGAGCACAGAAGGACTTGAGGAAAGAAGGACACTAGAATTTTGTACAATTTTTTAAAATAAACTTTTTAGGCAAGGAAGGTATAGAAGGCTTGAGCTGCAAGTTAAAGACAGGCATGATTTGGATGTATTCAGGGGAGAGGACCAGTGTTCCAGGTAGAGAGGTGACTGCAAAGGCTCAGACACTGGACAAACTGTTCTGCTCCTATAGGGAGAAATAGGAGTCTTTATGAGCACTGAGCTTTTAGGTGTCAACCACTGGGTTTGGCATGCACTATCCTCTTCAACCCTCAAAACAACCCTATGAGCAGGTTGTCTTTATTTTCATGTGGAGGCAGCAAGCAGATGGGAACTTCCTTCCAAGCTCCGGCACTCAGACTCAGAACCCAACCTCTCACCTACCGTGGCCCTTCTGCTCCTGGTGCTAAGAAAAGGAAAACTGGAGGGAATGGCATTAGACTCAGGAGCAGAGCACAAGGATGGTGGGGCACAATCCCTGAAAAAAACAGTACCAATTCGTGGTGACCCCGGGTGTGTCAGAGTAGAACTGCTCCTGGGCTTTAGTCTGTGTGGAAGTTGATCACCAGGCCTTTCTTCCGTGATGCCACGAAGGGAGTTCCAACCATTACCTGTTTAGGTCAGCACCCCAGCCCAAACCGTGTGAACCCCTGGGAGCCTCTGGCACAGCCCCTGAGTACTTGCATGATCATAGACAAGCTGTATAGCTAGCAAGTAGTTCAGTCTTGGTTTCCTGCTCTGTAAAGTGGGGATCACAGAGTCTAATTCTCCACTTTGTGCAAATTAGAGAAATGATCCATGCAGAGGACTGAGAATCATGCCGGCCCACAGTAAGCAGCCAATAAATACGAGCCATGAAGACAGAATGGTGGTGGTGGGGGCCTGCATTTTTCTAGTTATTACTCTCCTAGGCACGACATCCATTCCTTTATGGAACAAGGTAAGGCAGACTATATCAACCAATCAAGTATTCCCCACTTACCTAATGCAGCTACAGAATGATTATTTCAACCCAGGCCTGGCCTGACTTCAAAGACAACTGAAGTAAAACTACTTTGAAAAAGAAACCTTTCTTCCAACAACCCTTCACTCCAGCAGGGACAAGAGCTCATTGGGGAGTGACCTTAGGATCGGTAAAATTTCGGGTGAGCAGATTTCGTCCTTTGCATCTGGGTACTTGATTTCTTCCTACAGGAGATGGTGGGCAAGTTGTTTTGCTTTGCTGTGTCCGTTTCCTTACTCCGAGTGGGATGACAAGTCTTCCCTCTCAGGGTTGTGGTGATGACTCACCATGTTCCTCAAACCCAGGTACTTTCTCCAGGCTGACTCTGATCCTACAGGTATGATGTCCTGGCTCTCACCACAGTCCTTCACCTGGGCACTAAGCGGCCTATAGTCTTTTTGTCCTCGGACATGAATTTGGCCATCTTCCC